CCCCAAAACCCCAAAACCCCAAAACCCCAAAACCCCTCAAAATTTATACATTAAGAAAATTATACGTTAAAAATGGGTAATGAACAAAGCCAATTAAGGGTAGGAGAGGAAAATTTAGACCTTCCCGATGAAAGTTATGAATACCAAGTGAATGATAAGGTTGAAGCCGTCAGTGAATATTACAAGGTATGTATCAATTCCTAATTATTATATTGATTTGTGTAATATTCTCTAACTTGATTTTTAGCCAAAGAGAGATGCTCTGAAGTCGAGCCAATTTACTTTTCACCCATGCTCTTCGAGATTAATGAAGGAAGATCTGATGGATGAAGCCTCTACAAAACCTCATTTAAACTTTGACGACCCAGTTCCTAAAATTTCAGGTGAAAAAGAGATAGAATCCCCTCGGAATATTGAGATCATAGAAGAGGAGGATTATTCAGAAATAGTCGTTGAAGAAAGAGAGACTCTCATCAGCTCCTCTAGCATAGCCGCAACTTCGGAATATTTACAGCCAGATGACGGGTTTGAGTCAACACCTGAGAAATAAACTCTTTGGTAAGTTTTTGGACTGTCTCAGACTAATGATCTAGCGAGTCATTATCAGAATACCATCTATGATCATACTTTATCGAATAGAGAGGAATCCAGTGAACAATTGGTGTGGAAAAAGGAGGAGAGTTTGACCTTTGAAAACCCCCTTTCTGAGGTATATGATGATTCTACTCAGAACAGACCTGTTCACAAGGATAGCTATATAGTTTGATCTTTTGGAAATAAAGAAAATATGATGGATAAAGAGAATATCAATGAGAAAGAATCCCTTAAATCTGAGCAAACTCTACATGCAAGTAATGTTATGATGTTCGGTAATAAGAGCAAATTAAAAATCGAAGAAGATAATAAAGATAAAGGAAGAAGCCATAGAAACTTCTTTGGGACAGACCTTTGGTTCACTTGGCTAGGCATGAGCCTAGCCCAGCTCTGTGATCCAAAAGATCCAATCGTTAAAGAGGGTAAGCTCTATAGGTATAAACCTGGCCTAAATGATACATATATTACAAGATGGTGTCAGATAACTAAAAAGGTAAATTGCCATTAATCTTAGCCACTAACTGTCTTTAGGTCTTTAGAGTCTACAAGAACCAGATGTGAGCGAAGGGGTTTGGAGCCAAGCCTATTCTTGCAATCCCTCTGTACGCTCTGAAGAATGTGAAGAAAAGTAAATTCAAGACTCCCAAGAACAGCAAAATGAGTTCAGATTCACAGAAAATTTGACAGAATCAGTTCGAGTTAACTTATAAAGATGAGATTTTAACTGAAATAATGATGGAATTCCTCGAGTCAAAATGACTGGACGAGGATGAAGAATATGGAAATACTTCAGAAAGAGTAGCCGAGGAACCAAGTCATCTACAAGCAAAGCTGGAAATCCTTAAGTGCACTCTTCTGTCTAATGAACCATTCAAGATAGATTCTAAGACTCAGACTCTTAATAACAACTCTTCGTGGAGTAACAGAGAGGGAGAGTGGTTCTTGGCTGAAAAGAGGCTGTTATTCAGCACTAAAAGTTTGAAAGAGCTCAATGGATGGTTGTCATGCTGGAAGAAGATCTTTTCTCACAATAAATAATCTCAATGATAATTCAATTTAACAGAAATTAAAAGGGGTTTTGGGGTTTTGGGGTTTTGGGGTTTTGGGGTTTTGGGG